CTAACAGAGCCTAATTATGTGCATCAAGCTCTTTTGAAACAATTAACCTTTTGTTTCCGTCAATTGAAGAAAAGAAATTGAAGTTAGTAAATGATGAACATAATAATAAGGACTAACAAACCAAGAAAGTTACTAATTTCAATGGAGAAAATGGTTCGAACGTTAGTGACGATAAGTGGCAACCAATAGAGACATTAACTAATGGAAATGACAAAAATAGTTCAAACACATTTGATAAAAAGAAGCATTCGAATGAGAATATTTCTAGTCCTGTTTAAGAAAATGACCCTCGTCCTACTAGTGTGTAAGACATGTACAAGCCACTGTTAATATTTTAAATTCCGTTGATCAGGATCGTAAAAACATTGAAGACCCTGATTATATACCCAAAAATACAATGGTGGACTTAAAAAATAAAATGGTAGAACTATATAGACATCTGGTCTATGTAATTCTACCCTTTTATTTCAGCATCAAAAGAAAGGAAAAACGAATACCAATCAGGATTATTTCAGTGCGAAAGGAAAAAATTTCGTGCGAAGAAATTTAACAGCAGCAATTGTAGATGTCCTTTAACATGTACGGAAAAATAGTTTATTGATCAGCGTATAAAAGAAAATTTTGGAGTTCTGGTTCTTATGAAGCAAGGTGCGCGGTTTTACAGGGTAGTATTATAGAAGCCAAAAAGAAAAACTATTCCATAAATGCCAAGCGAGCTTTTAGTATTGGTAGAAAATATAAATTGTGTGTCTGTAAAAAAGCTCAGCCCTGGGCCCGATACCCGAATGGGCGTGAACTATTAGCTGCGAAAATTCAAGATTTACAAGATTTGTTAAAGCTCATTCCAACAGATACAAGAGGATTTTATAGTTTCTTGAAGAACGTTGAGTCGGGTGGTTTTATTGATAGTGAAGAAAATTTGATTGATGATTAAGCATTTTCTTGTTAACTTACATGTTATCTGTTGTTATTTCTTGGCTATATTAGTTAAAGCGATGATCACATTAGTTTTAGGTAATATTAAGTCAAAAAAATTGCAGAAACAATGAGACTGATTAAAGTTCTGGATACATAACCACTTGCTCAGTTGAAAATAATTGGGCTAGTCAGGAAGAAATTTAATACTAAATGAATACTTAAAAATGTTCCCAAAGATCTCAAAATTCAAAGATCTTTCCTTTCCTGTCCAAAGCCCTGTCCTGACTTCTGTTAAAATACATTAGATTTTTAAGTTAAAGTGATATTAAACTACCTCAGTTAATTAACTAACTTAACTTCAAGAAAATGATTACTAAAATAAGATTTAAAGTTGTCGATGACTCATTGTTTTTAACAAATTATAGTATTTTGTTAAAAACAATGAGTCTAACGCTTAGTTGTTTAAGTTAAAGTGATAATAAAATATCTCTGTTAATTAACTAACTTAACTGTAATAAAATGTTTACAAAAATAAGACAGATTTAAAGTTATCATTTTTAGCTTACCTAAGATACTTTGCTAAGAAACGATCAGTCTGAGGAATGGATAAAATTATTATTCTTGAATATAAAATTTTCTAATCCTCGCTTGTTTAAAAAAATTGCTTTCTTTATTTTCATATTAATAAATATTAATATTAAAACTACTTTACTGACTTTTATTTAAAACTACTTTACAAATTGTAAGTGAGAATATACTTTTATCAATATTCATTTATGCTCCTTAACATACATTTACTTTCATTAAATCCCGTAATTAGAATTTAGCAAAATAGTGTTATGTTCCTTAATTTCCTGTTTAGAATACTATAGCGTATTCGATATTTTGCAATATGCAAAAATCTAATTTTTTTACAAAACTTAGCAGTATTTTCTCTTTTTATTATAAAAATTTACTTTCAATCCATTATTTCTTTCATCAAATAGAAAAGAACCGGTGGGTGCGTATTTTTTTCAAACAAATTTATTGAAAATTGGTATGATATCTTTAGACGGCATTTTCTCAAAATTAAGTTCGTGTGGCTTGACATGGTATTGCTTATCAGCATCCAATTATGGCAATAGCTGTCAACAGTAGTTAGTACTGTACGAACAAGAAAAATGTCATTAATTGTTTTAAAGTGCAATGTATTTTGCAACTTAGTTTCAGATGTCAGCATCTGATTGCGGTTGCTACACAGATTCTTTGTGTCATAACTTCTGAGTAACTTTTAACTTAGCTATGCTCTAAACAACTGACTGAAACTGAATAAAGCAAAATAAATGCGTTGCCAAAACCATGAACGAAAACTTTAACAAAGGGGATTTCTCCGCTAATAGTCCTCGGTAAAAAAAAATCAAGTTGATCATCCTAAAGGGGAAGCCGGGAAATCCATAGCACAGGGTATCCTAGTTTGGACTCGTCTCCCATGCTCTTTGTTTTGTGGAAAAAATATGTTTGAAAAAGATAAACTGCTATGTACTATTTGTGGGAAAAAATAATAAAGGTCATTATTATTATTATCGGTAATGTGGACTAACAGTGCTGCTATAAAAGAGTTAATAACCCGCTAGTCGCTACAATTTTGAAATGTGTGCTAAATACACCAAAAAGCGCTGGATTAAGCGCTAGATGCTAAAATTTCGAAATGCGCAATTCCAAAAAAGCGCTAAATCTAGTTCCCAAAGCGCTAAAATGACATTACTGATTTTGCGTATATTATAAATACAATATCACGACATTTCGTTGCAATTTTGTTATTTTTGGTCGGGTTCCGTTGTATGGCTTCGATAGATACAAATTTCTTCAGTAAGTCTCAATACGATTCATCCACGAAAAATCTCAACCCAGCAATTCAGAAAAGGTTGTAATTTATACAACTCCATCTATTACGTCCTTTGTGAGAGAAAACATCCTTTTTTAAATCTCTTTTCGTGTTTTCAGTATAAATATATTAATTATTATGGAACGTTTTTTTTACACACAAATCTTTTTGTTACTATTTCTGAGATTTTATAGCGCCATTGAACAAATTCGAACCTACATTTCAAAATAATAATCATTACATTCAATAGAATTAACCAATTTTAATAAAACAAAGATTAAATGCAACTCGAAGATCCGCTTTATGATTTTCTTAAATATTTCTTTGAAAAAAAAAGATGTTTACTTTAGACGTGATGCGTTCATATAAAAACAGACAAACAGACAGACAGACAATTCTAAAAATTATAAAAATATGATTTACATAATGATTTTAGCTACCAAAATATATATACAATGTACAGAAAGAGAAACAACATGTTATGAGATGGCGCTGCTAATATCAATTCTAAAAATAAAAGAGATTAATTGACGCGATTGATACATTATATAAAACGTAAAAGAACTTATAAATTAGTGCCTGCACAGTAAGCAAAAACTAAAGTTTGACACTCGCCAAAACCAACGCAATTGTTAATAGCTCTTTTAAAATTTGATTTGCCACATAGAGTACTCGGCGGTAAAGAATAAATTGAGTTTGTCAACACGCAGTAGGCAGCGAGTAATATAATAAAGATTAGCAGTAAATATGAAAACTCATCTACAGGAAAAAACACATTGCAATTGCATTACATTTGCACAACACCACCATCTATCGATGAAATAGGTTAACTATTGTGCTTTAGATTACTTAATAAGGTTAATATATTTTTGTATAATATATTTAATACGTTCTTTAATACTTACTTTATTTATGATATGATATTAGTTTAAAATGCATTTGATGACTCAAACAAAGCCACCGTTGAGCAAATTCGTACCTATACTTCCCTACCCATACTTCAGAATATTTATCATAACTTTTGATGGAATGAAACTGATTTTAATGAAATAAAGACTAAATGTAACCCGAAGCTACACTTTATAATTTTCTTAACAATTCTTATGATATAAATTAGTACTTTATACGTGATACGTTAACAAACAAACAGACAGACAGACAGGCAGACAGACAGAAAATTCTAAAAATGGTAGAAATGTATTTAATTACTTATTTTTAGTTTCTCGCAATCATTTTTATTAGAAAAATATAAAATGTACAGACATCTGCTATTTACAGTTTTATTATATGTATAGATAGATACGATAAATATTAATAGCAAGGAATTAAGTGCTAATTAGGTGTTGCAAGTATAGGCAATAACAAGGCGCCCCTAATAAAAATATAGTCGTTATTCAGAACAAAGCAGATGCAAAATTCAGGTTTTCTGAAAATCAAAATAGAATCAAAATTGCTTCTAGAAAAAGACCAAATTAGGGGGCTTTTTAGGAGCTAATTAGGTACCAAGTTTAAAAATTAGTTGTTCTAAAACTTTCACCGCAACGAACTGTTGAAATTTGCGTTGCGGGAATATTGACATAGTTACTTCTGCAACGGCTTCGGCGCTGCGGTGAGTGCAGCCCCTTCATCCTTGTGTATCAAATCACAAGCACCCATGCTCACCTCCGCAGCTTCGGCTTATTGGTCACATTCGGTGACAAATATATATAAAGTTGTTTGTCAAAGAAGTTCTTTCATACTTCTCTCACAGTAGCCGACGAAAAAGAGAGTTTGCCGAATTTCAAAATTTTACTGACACTCCAACTCGCCATATGCTTCGTCATTATGATATCAGGTGGCGTTCTCTACATCAATGTACTCACCTAATTATAGAGCAGTGGTCAGCATTAAAACCTTTTTTCAAAATGAGTTTTTAGGGCATAAGAATGCAAATGCTACTTGTCAATTTATATTTGATCACCTTAACAGTGATGACACAAAACTTTCTTTACTTTTTAGATTTTATAATACCCATAACTACAAAATTTAACGTTATTTTTCAAAGTAATCAGACGTTTATTAATAAAATTGAAACAGACATACAAAACATGATGGGTTCCATTTTGAGTTGCTTTATGAAGATAAATTATATAAAAACTACTCCGCTTCAGTCAATAGATCCAAGTTCAAGAATGCATTTCCTTCCTATACAAAACATGAACCTGGGCATAAACGTAGAATGACATTGGAATCATTAAAAGATGATATTCGAATGAGATCTAAAATTGAAGAATTCCTTAACAGATGTCAATCATTTTTGATCGAGCTGAGTAACCAATTTCTGCAAAGACTGCCTTTACAAGATAATTTTTTGCAGGATTTGTCGTTCATCCATGCCCCAAAAGCAGTGTATGGTGAATTTCGAACTCTGATAAGAATACTCCAAAGGTAACTTAGTTGCAACAGAAAACATGCAAATTGTTGACAATGAATATAGGGAATTAAAATTAGATGTTTCAGTGTCTAATTTATTGTCAACTTCTAGTTTGACGTGTGAAACTTTTATGGTGGACAAATTTTGAAGTGAAGTCAGCTAAATCTGTGATGCGAATAGCAAACCAAAATATGGCAATTTGTCCCGATTTGTGAAGCAAATGACGATACTACCTTTGTCAAACGCCAAACTAGAAAGAATATTTTCCGATATTAATAGGATTAAAAATCAAGATCGAAATCGATTTAATAATAAGAATGTTGCTGCAATAATACATGATAAAGAGGGGCTACGACAGTTGGAAGAAGAATATAGCAGATTTGATCCTGACTGAAGTAGGGTAAGGTTGCGATCATTGGACCGGCACTTTCATTGGACCGCTTCGATATTTTCGAAACGGTTCGATTTTAAAACTGTTGCTAGGCGTCGGACGCTTGGTATACGTCCCCCCGCCACACCCCCGTAGTCTCAGTTCTGCCGCAGGCTCCGTCGCGGACGCAGGTATGTCGCTGCGTTTCGCGCGCTCAATAATTTTTTTTCGCCTGCTTAACCAAACCATGTAAATAGATATTCCTTAAGGATATTCATGCGCGTTGTTTAATGTTCTGTTCTTTGTTTATCAACGTTATTGATTCTTATAGAAAGGAATGTCCAAAAGTTATAGTTTAGTCGTAATATTTGACCTTGTAAAACCAGACGTAGTTGCCATCATTGAATCACCTCGAAGCTCCTCGATTGGACCGGTCCAATCATGGCAAGTAATATAAAACCTGGATTTTAAAATATCATTCGGAGAGATCTACCTATTTTTTTTTAATGTGAAATGAAATAATAATAATAATTTTAAATTAATTGATTTAATTTTAAATGGCACCGTGTGTTTAAAATATCATTGGAATACCTATGTCAACTTATTTTTTTAAATGTGAAATAATAAATTTTTATAAAAATAATTTAATTTCGATTGCCATGTTTGTGTGCTGATATTATTGTATTGGTAATAGAAAATATTTTTATTGCAGCATGTCTAAAAGAGGGCAATATTACACGTGGAGTGAAACAAGCATGAAACTAGCATTACAGGCATTACGTAATAGGGAAGTTGGCTTAAATGAAGCAAGCAGAATTTACGGTGTACCAAAAGCTACATTAAAGAGACGACTTGATGGCTCAAATCAAACAGCCAAAGAAGAAAAACAAACGCCAGGTTCTGCAGGTGATCTCACACCTGAATTGGAAGAAAAGTTGTACCAACATATTCTAGAAATGGAAGCCTGTTTGTACGGTCTAACACCAAAAGATGTGAGATCACTTGCTTTTAAAATAGCTGAGAAAAACAATATTAAACACAGATTTAATAAAACGAAAAAAATGGCCGGGAAGAAGTGGTACTATGCATTTTTAAAGCGTCATCGCAGTCTAAGTTTAAGACAACCCAGAGCTACATCTTTAAATAGAGCTACAGCATTTAACAAACCAACTGTCAAAGACTTTTTTGAAAAGTTAGAAAAAGTGATGGATGAGCACGGTATACATGACCCACGATACATTTATAATGTAGATGAGACAGGCCTCTCAACAGTGCAACGAAAACCAAGAAAGATATTGGCCAAAAAAGGAAAGCATCAAGTTGGTGCTATTACAAGTGGTGAGCGTGGATTCACTACTACTGCTGTGTGTTGTGCAAGTGCAGCTGGCCATTTTGTACCACCTCTTGTAATTTTTAAACGAAAAAACGCTAAAGACGAACTTCGCGACGGTGCTCCACCTGGTTCAATCTTTGCTTTTAACCCCGACAGTGGCTACATTAATAGTGAAATATTTTTTGTTTGGTTGCAACACTTTGTAGAATGTGTAAAGCCGACCACGGAGCAGAAAGTTTTGCTGTTACTTGATGGACACACTAGTCACACAAAAAATTTGGATGCTATCAAATATGCCAAGGAAAACAATGTTGTGTTACTGTCACTTCCTGCTCACACTTCCAATAAACTGCAGCCCCTAGATACTTCGTTTTTTAGACCGTTGAGTTGCTATTATATAGATGAAACAGAGAAGTGGCTGCGTACAAATCCAGGAAGACGTGTTACAGTATATCAAATTTCAATGCTTTTCGGTAAAGCCTACGCCCGTGCTGCATCTATTGCAACCGCTGAAAGTGGATTTCGAAGTACGGGCATATATCCTTTTAATAAGGATATTTTCCAGGATTATGAGTTCGTTACTTTACCTGAAGATAACGACAACTTACCGGCTATTGAGAATGAGAACATGATTGTGGATCCTTTGTTTTCAGAGCTTAATGATGTAGATGACAATGGAATACCAAAAGATGTTACCTCGGATGATTCACCATTTTCGTGCACCAGTGTTGAATCTACTGATGTAAATACGATGCAAACAATACCGTCTGCTTCCAAAACCCCCGTTATACCAAGCCCTGATTTATCGGATAATTGCAACAATATAAATATTCAACCTGAAACACCAATCATAGCAACAAAAGAAGTAAAACAATGGCAGCCACTTCCAAGCACTAGCTCAGAATTTCAAATTTGTAGTGTAACTCCGACTGCAAAGAAAGTCATGCAAGAATTGAGAAAAGGAAGTCGTAAACCACAATCGGCAATAGAGTTAACTGCTTCCCCATATAAAACACAATTGGAAGAGTCAAAAGCTAAAGCATCCAAAACAAAATCTGATGCTGAAAAGAGAAAGAAAGTTGCTGCATTAAACTTGGAGAAAACAGTAAAATCTAATAGACGTCCAGAAAAACAAATAAAGAAAGACGCGAAGAGAAAGAAAGTGCCAGCTGCGGAGTTAGAAAAATGGTTCTGCAAAATTTGTCTCCATTGTGCTATTGAAGACATGATACAATGTTTGTCATGTAAATGTTGGGTCCACGAGGAGTGTGCTTGCGTTAAAAAAGGTATCAAAAAATATATTTGTCCATCATGTACTGATTAATGGATCTCAAATGTCTGAAATGATTGAATATTAATTTAAGTTTGAATCTTGATTTCTTTTAGATATTGAAATTTTTTAATTAATGTTCGGAGAATTTTTTATATCCCTGAAGATGGGTTTAAGTTTTATGTTATTGATATTAGTACAGAAAAAGTTTAACAAAGTTTTTTTAACAATGCTCAAAAATTATTAGGTTAAGTTTATCGTTGTCAGACTAGTATTTTTAGTTTTTAAGAATTTAACACTAAGTACTCTGATATTCCTATATTTTTTTCTATGAAGATTTTAGTATGTAGCATTTTAAAAAAGTGATTACATGGTATTAAATATAAGGACCAAGAAGACTGTATTGTGAGCCAATGTTAAAATAATTAATATTAAAATAATAGTTAAAAACTTAAGTACCTTAAGTTGTTGTTTTATAATTTCTATATTTTTTTGGGAAACATTTCAAAAAATGTTACATACATGCACGGTATTAAAACCAAGAAGACTGTTTCATATGCCTATATTGAAAAATGACTTAATTAGTAACATAAATGTTAAAATAATGATTAAAATGTTAATTTCTTTAAATTGTAGTATTATTATTTTGTCACCTTAAACCATGAAATTTCCGAGTTCCCATCAATGGACCGGTCGACTCATTTTCCTAAGTCCAATGATAGCAACAAAGTGGTCCAATGAACGTTCCAGTGGTCCAATCAAAGAAACCTTAACAAAAATCATTTTACCCATTTATTGACTCTATTTACTATTTTAGAATTCTGAAACTTTAGGTACTTACACAGGAATACAAGAGCACTTCAGTAACTAAATCACTTTTATTCCACATTGCATACATTCGTTTTTTTAAGCATTTTAACAAAAGTGGTCCAATCATCGCAACCTTACCCTATGATCAAGTTAATGGATCCAAAACAGCTTTTTTTTTATAGGATAAGAGTGACAAACGAGCACACAGTCCACCTGATGGTAAGTGGTTGCTGCGGCCCATAGACATCTACATCTATCCTCTATTACAAATCAAAATGCAGATGCGTTGTCACCCGTTAGAACTAAGATGTAATGCCTCATTTCCAGTAAATAGGGTCTCCGGTTTTCTACACTCATCATACGAAACACAGCAGCGTTGAGCTGCTATTTTACGCTGGTATTCTGCGAGAGCGTGGTCCTTCCCCGGTCGAGCCAACCCATTCGTGCTACAACTATACTACTAATATAGCTGCAGCAAGGCTCTACCACGTATGACAATGTTACCCAACATAAAGACGAAGTATCTTAACTTTAAGTTTCATTTTATTATTTTTTTAATTATATTTTAATTAGAATTTAATTTAAAAAGACATTGGTTTCTTAAATTAATGGTGATTTCTTTGTTATTTTTATTATTTTATCGTTTAATCAAGAAAACATTCATGTCTTTACGTTGTAACACGACATCAAAAAATATAGTAGATTTTTAGTATTTTCTCGTTCTCTTTTGGTAGAATTCAGTAGCTTTTAACCTCCACAAGCAGTAGATATGCCGTGTATGCCGTGTAGTGGCGGTTAAGAATATCCACTACCCCATATCTTCCCGTGGGTGTCGTAAAAGGCGACAAAGGGAAACAGGCAGGAGATGGGCAGCAGCATCTTCCTGGTAACGACAAAATTACAATAAAAAAAAAACTGCGGTTGCCAACCCGCTCGCCAAGCGTGGCAACTATGGCAATATACCCCCCATTATGAAAGTTACAAAGAGACGGCCCCCAGTCCCCGGCGGCCCCGCTATTCCTGGCTACGGTGGCGACCATGGTAACGGCGGGGCAGGGGGTGCTAAGAATCTCCGGTGGAGGTTCGGTTGCCACCTACGACGACTCGACCTGGCAACATACAACGCACGCACCCTGAGGACTGACGAGAAGATTGTGGAGCTGGAAGAAGAGATAGACAAGTTACGCTGGCATATTATAGGATTATCCGAAGTCCGAAGAGAGGGGGAGGACACGGTAATCCTCGAATCCGGCAACTTGCTCTATCACCGGGAGGGCGACCATCTGTCCCAAGGAGGTGTCGGATTTATCGTCCACAAGTCTCTCGTTAACAACGTTGTAAAGATTGAGAGTGTGTCGACGAGGGTTGCGTACCTTATACTCAGAATCACCAAACGGTATTCGCTGAAGGTCATACAGGTTTACGCACCAACCTCGGCACACCCCGATCAGGAGGTGGAGGAAATGTATGAGGATATCTCTAGAGCCATGCATTCCTCCAAAACCCAATATACGGTGTTAATGGGAGACTTCAATGCAAAACTAGGCACAAGAGAGAACGGTGAGCTGAAAGTAGGGAAATTTGGAATAGGGCAACGGAACCCAAGGGGCCAGCAGCTGGCCGACTTCATGGAGAAAGAGGGACTCTTTATGATGAACTCTTTCTTCCAGAAGCGGTCCCACAGGAAGTGGACCTGGTCGAGCCCCGACGGTTCGACAAAAAATGAGATTGACTTCATTATGACGACCAGACGACAACTGTTCAGTGATGTCTCAGTGATCACGAGGGTGAAAACCGGCAGCGATCACCGAATGGTTAGAGGCACACTGAACCTAAACGTTAAGTTGGAGAGGTCTCGTCTAATGAAGTCAACGCTCCGTCCCCCTCGTGCTCTAATCCAAAGTCCCGAAACCTTTCAGCTCGAGTTACAAAACCGTTTTCAGTGCCTAGAAGACTGCAATGAAGTGGACGATTTGAATGACAAGCTCGTGGAAACTGTCCATGCGGTCGGAGCTAAGTTCTGCAAGACCCGCCGCAGAAGAACACAAAAACTCTCCGATCACACTCTTAATCTCATGGCTGTTAGACGGGAGATGAAGCTACATTCTTCAACAGATTTGACAGCATACAGGCAACTGAACAGACAGATCTCCAAATGCATGCGGCGGGACTTACGCAACTTCAATACAGCTCGTATTGAAGAAGCGATCGAGCGGAACCAAGGCTCCAAAATCTTCGCCAGAGATCTGTCTGCCAGAAAGAGCCAACTGTCAAAGCTGAAGACCGAATGTGGCAGCATCGTTTCCGGGGCACCTGAGATTTTGAGTGAGATTGAGAGGTTCTATGGGCAGCTGTACACGTCATCGTTGGAGCCGCACGCAAGTGTGAGTAACGATCCAAGAGCGAGTCTTGTCCGACATTATTCCGATGATATCCCGGACGTCAGTCTGAGCGAGATTAGAATGGCTCTCCAGCACCTTAAAAACGGCAAGGCCCCAGGCGAGGATGGAATTACAGCGGAGCTTCTGAAAGCGGGTGGAAAACCGGTACTTGAAGTCATTCAGAAGCTCTTTAATTCCGTTCTCCATGGTGGCATTACACCGGAGGCGTGGAGCAGAAGTGCGGTGGTCTTGTTCTTCAAGAAAGGCGACAACGCTCTCTTGAAGAACTACAGACCGATTTCCCTTCTGAGCCGCGTCTACGTGCTGTTTTCGAGAGTCATTACGAATCGTCTCGCACGCAGACTTGACGACTACCAGCCTCCCGAACAAGCCGGTTTCCGAAAAGGCTTTAGCACCATAGACCACATACATACCCTTCGGCAAATTGTACAGAAGTCCGAGGAGTACAATTTGCCACTATGTCTGGCGTATGTGGACTATGAGAAAGCCTTTGATTCCGTCGAAATTTGGGCGGTGCTGCAGTCCCTTCAGCGATGCCAAGTTGACTGTCGGTATATCGAAGTGTTGAAGTGCTTGTACAGTAGGGCTACGATGGCTATCCGAGTACAGAACCAGAGTACGAAACCTATCCAATTGCAGAGAGGTGTAAGACAGGGTGACGTCATATCCCCGAAACTCTTCACCGCTGCATTGGAAGACGTTTTCAAGCTTCTGGACTGGAAAGGATACGGTATCAACATCAATGGCGAGTACATCACTCACCTTCGATTTGCCGACGATATAGTCCTTATGGCAGAATCGCTGGAGGACCTAAGCACTATGCTCAATGACCTCAATAGTGTTTCCCAACGGATAGGTCTTAAGATGAACATGGACAAAACAAAGATCATGTTTAATGTCCATGTCACACCTATGCCGGTAGTTGTTGGGAACACTAAGCTCGAAGTTGTTGACGAGTATGTTTACCTGGGACAAATAGTCCGACTAGGTAAGTCCAACTTCGACCGAGAGGTCAATCGACGGATTCAACTCGGTTGGACAGCGTTCGGGAAATTACGGCACATCTTCTCGTCAGGTATACCTCAAAACTTGAAAACGAGACTGTACACCCAGTGCGTGTTGCCAGTGATGACATACGGAACTGAGACGTGGTCCTTCACTGCTGGCCGGATGAGGAAGCTCAAGGTCGCTCAGCGAGCTATGGAGAGGGCTATGCTCGGAGTTTCTCTGCGTGATAAACTCAGAAATGAGGATATCCGCAGTAGAACCAGAGTGACCGACATAGCCCAACGGATTAGTAAGCTGAAGTGGCAATGGGCCGGCCATATAGCTCGAAGAACCGACAACCGATGGGGAAGAAAGGTTCTCGAGTGGCAGCCTCGTACCGGCAGGCGAAGTGTAGGGCGTCCCCCCACTAGATGGAGTGACGACCTGGTAAGATATGCAGGAAGTCGATGGATGCAGGTGGCTCAGGACCGTGCTTTGTGGCATTCTTTGGGGGAGGCCTATGTTCAGCAGTGGACTTGTGAAGGGCTGTAATGATGATGATGATGAAGCAGTAGATTCGTCAAATGAAATCTGGTCACACTGGTTGTGGGTACCATAGACTAATATAGTGGGTTAGTGGGTACTTGCTACTTGTTAGCTTGTTACTGGTCCAAACAAGGAGCCGCTTTCATTGTGTTTTAGATTTGATTTTGCTTTTTAATATAGTAGTTTGTGTAAAGTAATTGTAGATTTTGCCTTCCGTTTAGATTTTAGGTGTATATCACTGTACTTGTGTTGTATATTTTTTTTCTACAACAGCTTAATTTTCGCCATGTCTGGGTGTAAGTACCAATTATCGTGTTTATACTCCTACTTTCCAGTGTAATATATTTGCATAAAATATGTTTATAGTATTGCGCAACTATATTGCCCTTATGTTTATAGTTACTCAAACTTGTGCTTAACCGTACTAAAAGGTGACTCATGTTTCTAATGTAGAAATCCACCAAAGATAATGTAGGTGATTATGTTTAGAATTTATCTAGGTATTTACAAATTTTCAAGTAATCGTTACTAAGTAGTAATCTCGAACTGTAGCTATTGTAGGCACCTACCTAACTAAAATTTCGAGATGTAACTAGACCACCGATGCGCAGGTTTGCTGATAGCGTCATGACGTCGTCGTCATGTCTCGTCGTCGATGGTTTGTAGGGATAAAAAACAAACAGGCTTTTTTAATTGTGAAAGATTTTATTTCACTTTTGTATTAACTAAAATTAAAATTTCTAGGCGAATTTCCTATTAAATTCACCCACCCCTTTTCTTCCCACGAATGTCATAAAAGTCGCTTCGAAAAAAAAATTAGAAAGATGAAGTATTAATAAATATATTTAATAATTTTACAAATATGGAGAAAACTAGGCAATAAAATAAAGTTGTCTTCTACTGCAGTGGTGTGGCTATTACTGTTTTGACCTACAGTAATAATTAACTCATTCCTTTTCATAACAAAATAATAAACAACTAAAGCAAAACTAAAAACTGAAGTTAAACAAAACAACAAACGTATTTGGAGCAAGAGCATAAATAACACATACAGATAAGGAAGCATTGCTAGTAGTATTTTAGGGTAAGCCAAGATGATGTTCTACAATCATTAACACCATAGAAAACTACAAAAATTTGTGAAATCAATGCAAAGTCGTGTGACTTAATGTTCAGATGTCATTCCCTTTCATTGTTAAGGTTTTCATAGCATTTGTGATCATAGAAAGTCATCTTGGCTAACCCCACTGTGCAGAGAAGCGCAAAACAAGGTTGGTGACAATGGGGGACATTCTCTTTTCATTGAAATAGGTACTCAATGAAGCTAACATTTGTTATAAAGTAACTTTTCTGTTACGGTACCTGTAAATTATCTCAATAAGATAATTTTTAAATTTAGAACTTTCATTAGTATTTTTCATTTTAAAATAGTAAGTTTAACATTCACTAAAAATATGTGAGTTTCATAAGACAGCATAATATTTACAGCATTTATAAAACACTAATCATGCAGGATCTATTACTGTGTAAAAAGATATTTAATTGAACAATTTTGTTTGGCAATGCTTAGCAACATTGTATAGTATTACGTAGTTTTTTCATGTAAGTAAGTACAAACATGCACAAAATACACACATTGGTAAGCAGATGCTGTGGTCCATAGACATCTAGATCTATCCTCCATTAGGAATCAAAATGGAGAAATGGTATCACTCCTGTAGATTAAGATGGAATGACTACAACCAGGTACTGATGTGACATTGAGTGAAAAAAATCGATTAATAAAAAATCGATTATTTGCTTCGTAATATTAATCGATTTAGAAAAAATTAGACCAAAAGGTTAGTTTAAATAACCAAACCTTTTGGTCTCAAAACTAATATACAAAATAAATCTTTTTTTAAACTTAAGTTTAAACAAAAAAACTATAAATAATTATTGCCACTAATGTTTAGTATTATTTATATTGGACTAGAATAAAAATAAAATAAAAATATAATTATAAATAATCAAACGACAACCTTTTGGTCTCAAAACTAAAATATAAGACAAATTTTTTTTAAACTAGTATAAACAAAAAAAAATATTGCCATGAATTTTCAGTTAAAGAGTTTAAAAACAATAATTTTACCAACATTCTTCTTCGTCTGTTTTGTAAAATACATTTACGTTTTTTTCTGACAATATTTCCCGCTTTCGAAAATAATCTTTCGGCTGGCACGGAACTGGCCATCATAAAGACGTGTTTAAGAGCCAATTCGGTTAGTTTACGGAAAGTTTCTTCAGAGCTCCATGTATTAAGGGCATCTGCCTTGAGACTTGATATCATTATCATTACAGCCCTTCACAAGTCCATTGCTGAACATAGGCCTCCCCCAAGGAGTGCCACAAAGCATGGTCCTGAGCCACCTGCATCCATCGACTTCCTGCATGTATTACCAGGTCGTTACTCCATCTAGTGGGGGGACGCCCTACACTTCGTCCGCCGGTACAAGGCCGCCACTCGAGAACCTTTCTTCCCCATCGGTTGTCGGTTCTTCGAGCTATATGGCCGGCCCATTGCCACTTCAGCTTACTAATCCGTTGGGCTATGTCGGTCACTCTGGTTCTACTGCGGATATCCTCATTTCTAAGTTTATCACGCAGAGAAACTCCGAGCATAGCCCTCTCCATAAGCTCGCTGAGTGACCTTGAGTTTCCTCATCCGGCCAGCAGTGAAGGACCACGTGTCAGTTCCATAACTCATCAGCATTTCGATATACTGACAGTCAACTTGGTACCGCTGAAGGGACTGCAGCACCGCCGAAATTTTGACGGAATCAAAGGCTTTCTCATAGTCCACATACACCAGACACAGTGGCAAATTGTACTCCTCGGACTTCTGTACAATTTGCCGCTTTTTAGCAAAAGCCCTTTCGGAAACCGGCTTGTTCAGGAGGCTGGAAGTCGTCAAGTCTGTGCGCGAGACGATTCGTAATGACTCTCGAAAACAGCATGTAGACGCGGTTCAAAAGGGAAATCGGTCTGTAGTTCTTCAAGAGATCGTTGTCACCTTTCTTGAAGAGTAAGACCACCGCACTTCTGCTCCACGCCTCTGGTGTAATGCCACCATGGAGGACGGAATTAAAGAGCTTCTGAAGGACTTCAAGTACCGTTTTTCCACCTGCTTTCAGAAGCTCCGCTGTAATTCCATCCTCGCCTGAGACCTTGCCGTTTTTAAGGTGCTGGAGAGCCATTCTAATCTCGCTCAGACTGACGTCCGGGATATCATCGGAGATTTGATAGTGATGTCGCAATATATAGGTTCAATTCAGTATTTTTGCCTATTGACGTGTTGGCCGCTATTATTTTTTCATTATAAAATACTTTCGTCAGCCACTTTTAGGCGTTTTACAAGACATTTTTATTGTTTATCAATTATTTACACTCTCTAAAGAAAGAAAGAAAACCACAGAATACTTTTACTCTTAGCGGAGAAAGAAAACTGTTGAAAACATACGAAAGGCGAAACTGTTTTACATACATATAGATACACACAGGTGGCGCCGTTTTTTGATGACTTGTTCATGTTAGTGAACTTACTTCATGTTTTTTCATCTGTCGCACAGATGACACTGATTACAAAAATCGATTAAAACACGTAATTTACATAATCGATTTATTAAAATCGATTTTTATTATCAAAAAAATTGACATTTAAAAATCGATTAAAAGAAAAAAATAATCGATTAATATGAAAATTGATTATTTTTTCACATCTCTACAACCAGGAGTTCCCAAACTTTTAAGGTAATAGAACACTCATCAAATCCCTTTGAACCCCATGTCAAATATTTACATATAGAAAGTGCAATTGAATATTATAACATTGTCTTGCTAAACTAAGGAGTTCTTCTCATCGTTTATTTTGCTCCAATTCAAAATAATAATGAGAGTGAATAGGCTTAGACAATGCGATTGGCCATCTAAGGGTGCATCACCACTTACCACCAGGTGGGATTGTGGTCAAGCACTGGCTTATTATAAGTAATAAGTATAATACTTGTACCAAAGTCTGAAATTATTTAACAAGCAAAATTAAATAATTTCATGGAACTACTAATAAATAAGATACTACTAATGAATATGATCTCCCTGTTCTCTTCACTCACCTTATGAAACACTAAAGCAGTATACTGTATGAGTGTGGTCCTTCCCCAGACAAACTAACTCATTGTTACTGCAGTGTGGCTCTACCACAAAGATGCCTGAAAGTTTTTTTTTTATAGTATAGGGTGACAAACGAGCACACAGTCCACCTGATGGTAAGTGGTTGCTGTGGCCAAAAGACATCTACATCTATCCTCGTTAAAGTGGGTTGTAGGTAGTCAGCGAGAATTATATTATAATATTTTAATTACACTTGTCTGATATGTAGTCATTTAATGTGGGGTTCCATAAAATAAAAGGGATTTGATGAATATTCCAATAACTTAAAAGTCCGGGAGCCCCTGCTCTACCATTCCTGACCATTAAATGGAAATTCAAGTAAAAACTTAAGTCAGATTGGTAGGTAGGTATTTGCATGTGTGAATTGTTTGTTTGTCTATGATGATATTGATAAATTTCTTAAAAGAGTAATGGTAACATTATTTATTTGCTCTTGTTGTTTCTCTTACATTTATTTCAGAATTATTAAGAGCATATTAAATGCCTTTTTGGCATTATCTTCTAAAATAAATGAGTAAACTATTCTTTTTATTTCATGCAGTTAAACTGAGGATCGAACTAGAAAATTACTAGAGTCAATAACTTAGACTAAACTAAAGACAGCAGTCAAAAGTTTTTGTTCTTTTTTTGATACAGGCTGCACACAGTTAATTACCAAACCACTTCATAAATAATATTTAAAATAATAAAAGTAAAACTGTATATAAAACACAAGTTATATAGAAAAACTAATCATCGTTCATGAGTCACTGTTCTAGAGTAAACAATCAATGATAAAGAACATTTGCACCTAAGTATTGTCTGTTTTAGCTTACACTTGAATTCTCCCTTAGCTCTGCTGTTGTACTTTGTAGTTGCGGCGTAAGAATACTCACTGCCTAGTATTGTCCTGTGATGTTGTATGAGGCGACAGAGGAAAACTGAAATAGGAGATGGGCAGCAGCATCTTCCTGATAGTGAAAATAATAAAAAAATCTGTGTACCTGCCAACCCACCAGTCAACTCTTGAAATTATGGCCTAAACCCTGTTACTATAGTTAGAATTAAAATGTATTTTACATAGAATATTGTGTTACAAAATATTATTACTAAAAACTGATAACACTGAACAGGGTCAGCAACTTTCACCTTTGATTTCTTGCCAAATTCCTTATGAGAATTTTAAATGTGGACATATACATGGTCAAACAACAAACATTATATTAATTGAACAAACATTATATTCCTAAATATAAGAATATTGGTTAAAAATGTTAATTGTGTTTGATACACATTTAAATTGTATTTTGATAATTAATTAAATTGCATATTAATATTCAATTAAATTTAACTTAACATTCAGTTACTTATTGTAACTTAAAATTTTCCATTCTACCATACCCTAATTTTCTTCATGCTGCTGATTTTCTACCCTTAGCAACAGAATATGGTGATTTTTCTAGTCTTAGTGTATTAAATGTTTATATTTCTAATTTACAGTTCAGTATGGAAACAATCCCCAATACCCGCCTCCACAAAATCCAATTTATCCTCAAATATATAATCCTGCAAATGCTCCACCACCAAGCCAACAGGGGCAGCCAAATTTTACTGGGTATCCATCCTCGGGTCAAAACCCTCATTACCCATACCAACCAGGATTTGCATACCCATATCAACCAGGGCCAAATATTCAACCCACTTCAGTTCCAGCGGCAATGTCTTACCCAAGTACTATGCCAGTGTATGGAGGATATGCTGGCCAACCTTCAGCACCAACACAAAACTATGGGCGTAAGTACTAATTTTTTGATTCCTTTTGTAGAAACCATTAATGTTTAAAACAAAATGATTACAAAAAATTTTATTACAGCTATAAATGTTAAGCAGATAAAATTAAATAAGAATGTTCTATGGCCATGCACTTTACCAACTTGCAGTGAGCTCCGTTCCAACAACTTCATTACTATATCTAGAGTTTACTAATTGTAATTTCAGCATCAATAGAATGGATCCCAACTACACCCAGGGATGCCCCAACATTAAGTGACAAGGCAGTTATTGCTGGTTATGAGGCATATGATGGTAGTCCACTTTGGGTCATCAGAGCAAGATATGAGGGAGATCTAATTCCTGGGAAACTTGCCATCAAACATCACGCTGCTTATGTACCATGGGGTGGAAATGAAAATGCTGTTCAGAATATTGAGGTAAAATTGATTGATCATTGTTATTTTATTATTATAGACCTTTACAATTTCACTGCTGAACACATGGGGCTCTCCCAGAAATTATCACAAACTGTAGTATGAAACAAATATTAAATGACAATCACTTCTATACAGTAGGTTATGCTGATGACCTGACAATACTGGTCTCTGGAAAGACAGCAAGCATAGTGTGCGACCTGACCCAAGCGGCTCTCCGTATAGTGGAGAGATGGTGCAGGGAACACGACTTAACCGTCAATCCAAATAAAACGGTTTTAGTTATGTTCACACAAAAACGAAAGCTGAATAACTATCATCCTCCAAGTCTTTTTAGCACAAAACTCCAGCTATCCTCTGAGGTAAAATATTTAGGTCTTACCTTGGACAGCAAACTTAACTGGAATAAACACATAGAAAACAAAATCAACAAAGCTAGTATAACCTTCTGGCAATGCAGAAACATGATTGGCAAAAGATGGGGATTGACGCCAAAAATCATACTGTGGCTTTACAAAACTGTAATTCGGCCCATGATCACATACGGCGCTCTGGTATGGTGGACCAAGACAAATGAAGCCACCATAATTAAAAAGCTTCAGCGCTACCAGAGACTGGCATGTATGGCTGCTACAGGCTGCATGAGAACTACGCCAACAGCAGCCTTAGAAGCGATGCTGGAGCTAACTCCGCTTCATCTACATATACAACAAGAAGCGACTTTAGCTGCCATCAGACTCAAGACCCTAAATCTTTGGAGTAAGAATAGTGTCCCTCATACAGGCATAATTGATAGAATTCACTCAAAAATTCCTATCCTACAAGCCAAATACGATAGGATTCCTAAACAATTTGTTTTCGATAAGAAATACAAGATACAGTTAAATGAAAACAGCCAGCCGGAAGGATTAAGCCCAAAAGAGCTTAGAATTTTCACCGATGGTTCTAAAACAAATGAAGGTGTAGGTTGTGGAGCTTTCTCTGAAGACCTCAATATTCACATATGCACACCGCTGGGTACCTATAACACGGTCTTTCAGGCGGAATGTATGGGTATCATTCAAGCGACCATAGCAATAGATGCTAGGAAGGTTAATGACATCCCCATCAGAATACTGACCGACAGTAGGGCGGTACTGCAAGCCCTGAGATGCAATGTGGTGAACTCGGGACTAATATATGAATGCCATCAACGATTAAATGAGGTATGTAAAAACAACAATGTGACCCTGCAATGGATAAAGGGACACAGTGGATCCAGAGGCAACGATGCAGCAGACGAACTTGCCAGAAGAGGATCGGCTTTGGCCACTATAGGGCCGGAACCAATCATACCAATCCCCTTTGGTAACGTTTGTTCACTGGTACGTAGACACTTCACTAATCAACACGCTCAGCTTTGGAAAAATCTAGTAGACTGTAGACAAGCTAGGGTTGCCCTGCCTGAAATTAACAGTCGCTTAACAAAAGTTTTAATGAGACTGAACAAGCCGCAGATTAGGATAGTAACAAGTGCTATCACAGGACACGGCACCTTTAACAAACATTTATTTACTATAGGTGTTACAGATAGTCCCCTGTGCAGGGCATGTATGGGGGAGGAAGAAACGGCGGCCCACGTGCTACTGAAATGTCCGGAGGTCGCTACATACAGGGCTAAACATCTCGGCACGCCGGGATCACTCCCCGAAGTTGCATGCAACATCAAGGGCCTGTTGAGCTTCTTCGGAGAGATCTCATGGCTCGAATAATCACATTATTCCTGCCCACACGCAAAATACGCGCATAGACGTGGAGTTGCGGAAAACAGCCCGTCGTAAACTAAACTAAACTAAATGAAACAAATATAGATTATTATTCAATTTTCTGCATGACTTATCAAATTGTCATTTCTGTTTAGTGGGTGGTTGTACTACACTGCTTTTATCTGTATAGGCTACCCACCCTGACTAAATAATATGATTTTAATAGATAAAATGCTTTATTATTATGATAAATGATATTTGAAGGCCATCAGTTCTGTTTTATAAATGTAGTTTTGGTGTCAATATCAAGAATGTCATTAAGAGTTAATAATAATAGTTAATAAGTCATTAATATTTGTATGGTATGGCATTATGTGGTCACCAAACCTAATAAATTCTTTCATACTGCCTGTCACAAATCCACTACTGCAAATAGGCCTCTCCAAATTGCAATTCTTTTAAAGGATACATGCCAGTCAGTGCATTCTCTGACATACTAAGCAGTGTTTGCCCAAGAACTTGATCCTGGATGCGGCTGGAGCTCAATAGGGTGATGAATTTATTGATTTAAATGAAATCAATACTGAAAATCTTGGCAGTCTTGGAAAAAAAATAGAGGTGGTGGTGTTGGAAAATCTATCGTCCTATTCCATATTGTGGGTATCCTTAGAGGTGACTAGTGAAAATGGCAGAAAAAAGTAATGACTTTCGATAAGTTTTTTTGCCCTTATTATAAGCCAGTGCTTGACATCAATTCCAGCTCTCGGCAAGTGGCAGTAAAACCATCTGACAAGATTGGCGACGGGGAGTAGTGTCAAAGGAATAAATGAATAAGGGTGTCAAACGAGCACAAAGTTCACCTGATAGTAAGTGGATGCTGTGGCCCATAGACATCTACATTTGTCCTCGATTAAGAATCAAAATATAGATGCGTTGTCACCCCTAAGGACTAAGATGGGATGCCTCATTTCTCATTTTCTGTAAAAAGGGTCTCCGGTTCTCTACACTCATCATATGAAACACAGCAGCATCAAGATGCTATTTTACGATGGTATTTTGTGAGAGTGGTCGAGCTGATCCACTAGCAGTGCTACAACAATAATAGAACTGCAGCATGGCTCTACCACATAATAAACTACCTATAGTAAGAGATGTACAGCTGTGGAGTTTTATGTGCTCATGAAGAAGTTTACAAATATCCTGAATGCATGTTTTATTACTTTATTTTTCAATTTAATTTCAATATATATATAGTATATTTTAACATATAAACCGTCTTTAAAAAATAAAGATTAAATATATATATATATATATATATATATATATATATATATATATATATATATATATATTCATATATATATATATATGTATATATATGTATATATATGTATATATATATATATATATATATATATATATATATATATATATATATATATATATATAGTTTAAAACAATAGCAATTAAAATTGTATAGTTTATTGGATATTAAAAATGGTATTTGTATTTTTGCAGGTGTGCTGTGCCCGTCCAGAGAGGATTCGTTGGGTAGAAACTCGTGATGGTTCTATTCCTCCAAATGCTATTGTTGGCGGCAGTACTTCATCTGGTGAACCATTGTATATAGGCAGAGCCAAGGAACAGGGATCTTTAACTCCTGGAAAGGTGAGCAATAATGATAGTGTAATGTAGTGGCAGTGCAAGAATATTCACTACACCATATCTTCCCATATATGTCGTAAGAGGTGACAGAGGGAAAAGGAAACAGAAAATAGGCAGCAGCATCATTATGATATCAGCAAAAACCACAATAAAAAAAACTGCAGTTGCCGGCCCGCTTGCCAGGCGTGGAAATAAGCCAAACATCACCCCATGTAGGGAATAAGGGTTCTTGAGTAGCAGCCTCGTAGCGTTAGTGGTGAATTTATGATTATAATTATAGAACTGATGAGGCGACTACTAAATAAATATATTTTTTTTATATAATAAGCATACTTATAGTTCAAAGAAAAATTCAGTAATTGATATTATGAACTTTAAAATATATTATTTATACTGTAATAATACCTGTTTCGTATGGTGAGTGTATAGAACTGGAGACTAAATTACTGTAAATAACTCATTCTGCATTTTGATTCTTAATAGAGGATAGACGTAGATGTCACAACATCCATTTACCATCAAGTGGACTGTGTGCTCGTTTGTCACCCTTATTCTATAAAATAAAATAAATTATAATTTAGGTACATGAAAGTTTAGGGAGTGAAAATAATACACTACAAATATTTTTTTTATCATTTCAGGTACACCCAAGTCATAAATCAATGTATATATCATTTGCAGGCAAGGAGGTTGCCCACAAAGTTTATGAAATATTGTGTCAAGTTTAGGCTAGTTTCACTCTGGCGTGTCACCGGTCGCGTATATGGGATGAGATGATGGGTAAATCTGATGATAATTACGAGTCGATTCTGTATGTGTATCCCGTAGGTCGGGTAGGAGCTGTCAGTACTGTCGGATTGGTATTCGGATTGCATCCGTCCTGACCTGACCTACCGATCTCTATTTTACGGTTTTACTTGATGCGTGCGCAAGCAGCATGTAGCTCGACGTGTACAGTCATGGAAACAATTAATTAAAAAATATATATTTTAATATCTGTCTTATAACACTACACAAAAAGAAAAGCAATGTTAGACGAAAAGAAATATTCGGCGCGTTTATTAAAAGATACATTCGATAAGCTTTATTGGTATGAAATGATGATTCATCAACATCGATTATTTCATAATGTCATTAATCACATTTGTTGAAATGCGGAGTTAGCTTTGTACGATCGTTAACGCTTTATAAAACTAAAAATAAAGTCGAATTTAAATTATTTTTATAGATTTCTGTATTGCTAACGATCGTAGAATGTCGTCTTGGCTAACCTCGTCGATTTTAAAATTGAAAACAAAATATTTCATCAATTGTCGCCATGACAGTACAAAAGACATACATACACACGCACTTTCGACTGTGAAAATTTCCACTTTGACACTGGTCTGCGATTTGCCCGGCGTATGCGGGGCTTATGAACCGATTGAGCGTGTCGAGAAACGCAACCGCCCGTCATGTAGCAATAATAATATTGTATGAAACAAATTGTACCGGTCTCGTTTGCACGTGACCGACGATACGCTGCAGTGAAAGGAGCCTTAGCATTTTCGTTGCAAGCAATGTAGCAATCTTTTATTTTTATATATTGTATAATTCACGAGACTGTACTTTAAGAATTTACTGTAATGTTTTTATTAGTACTTTTTAGGAATCCTTAAATGAAAAGCATTGTTGTTGTTGTTGGTGTTTTATAGTCTAGTGATGTATTTTTCGTAAATATACAATTTATGCAATTGTAAGCATTTTTTTATATAATATGGTATGGTCAACATTTTGGTAATATTAAATAAAAGTAAATTTTGTCTCATTTCGTTTTATTATATTATTCTAAGTACTTGAAGAAAACTAATAAACTAGTGTTATTTTGTTATTGTTTAAAGATTTATATTCAATAAAAAAACAGGTCAATATAATTACGTCGCAATTATTTTAATTCTACAAAATGATTTCGCTTATCACTTAACACGTGTAATCCTTTTAATAAAATAAATACAATAATTAGGGGTTGTGCCATTTTAAGCGGTACGCTTGGCGGTGAAATTGAAAATATTTCGAAGTTTAAAATTCTGTTTTTGTTAAAATCTTTTGTCTTTCTTAAATATTTCTAATTCGAATTAATATCACACGTTAATTTTTACAGACCCTGTCTGTCTAAACATCAAAATACATAATTTGTAATATCAATTTAGTATTTATGAAAGTATATTCCAGTATATTAATATATAAAAAAAAAAAAACAGTCCCTATAGTACATCACAATCTTACAAGGCTTTAGTTATGTGGTTAGACATTAGAAATATTGGTTAATAGTTCATATAAATATGTATATAAGGTGTATATGTTATGGACAGTGATTAATCAGGGCACTATTTATAATGTCCGGGCAACATGAATAATGACAAGTCAAATCAGGTTACGGAATAAATACAGATTTAAACTTCATTATTTATTACATTGTCTAGTCGTTATGAATATTGCTACGTAACTAACTGTTAGGCAATTTTATATAACTTAACCTAACCTAACCATGTTAATCACTTTTACGACAATACATAAGTTAATGTACAAAATATGAAGCAAGGGAAAACCACTGCAGTATCAAATAGCAACAATGAGGTATTCCTTCCTTTGCATTACAAAGAAAAAATACCTTTGATGAAAAACTATTCCCATTGGGCATGGTGTTTAAGTGGTAAATAATATGTGACATCAATAATATCGCAATAAGTAACTGACTTTATTCATAAAGCCCGGTCAATTTTATTTCAATAATTACGTTGCCTATTCATATTGTTCGGGCATTATGAATAATGCCCCATTAATCACTTGGTCACATATTATCATAGTCTTTTGTACATTGAAAGTTATCCTTAGAATGAATATAATTATACAAAAAGTTACTTTACTATTTTTATCTATATTTTATATTTAAACTTAATAATATGTGAGGTGATATACCTGTGAATTCATAAATTTACTTTTTAATGTAATCACATAGGTAACAAAAGTATCACAGGATAATAAATATTTTATCTCAATCATAAACCTTCTATCTCTTAAATCTTAATAGATGAAGTATTTTTCATTTATATTATATTAGTTAGTATAGGAAATAATAATTAACAATAAACTATTGCATTCGTAATTTAGTCAAGAGTAAAATATCACTTTATGACAATAACAAGACGATTTTTTCAATTCGTATGACGTAAACATCAGAGATTAGCTCGATTGCAAATCATACTTTCGGTGAGGCCCATCTCTATTTGCGATTGAGTGACGTTGTCGTTATTAGAAATATCCATTATTTCAGGTTCCTTTTTGTTTTTACTGGAATCCTCTTCCTTAGATTCAAATGCTTTGTTATCAACTCCACCTTTCTCAAGTTTAGACTCCGATTTCATTTCATTATCTTTGTCTTTTGCATCCACTGGGTGTTTCTTGTTCACTAAATACAACCATCTGAATAAAAACAAAATAAATTTTATAAGTGAACAATAAAAATATACTTGTTTCATTATTGAACGTCAAAAATTTAAAGTAAAAGATTATCCAGAAACTAATCATTTCTACTTTTCTAACCAATATTGGCTTAAGGCGAGGATTTCCAATGTTAATAGCGCAATCTTCTTCGCTGCATCTGCATGTATATTTATTTTTTCTAGCACTAAGTAACTGACATTAGGTGGACAAAGAGTTACTTTATTTAAAACGTTTTTGCTTAATAAAAGATATAAATAAAATGTAGCCGATAAAGAATCTAATTTAATAATATGGCTTTGATATTATCGAAAAATATTAGGAACCTATATGGTTATGGCTACAATAAAAAGTGAAAACTCGAACGTATAATTTTTTCATTTAAATTATATTTCTTTATCTCGATCAAAATAAATTAAGTATTTTAAAGTCATTCGATTAAAAATTTAATTGAATGAGTATTTTAAGTATGCGCCAATTTTTTTTGTACTTATACCTAATATTTCAAGAAGTATCAATTCTCGTGCGTCAAAATCGTGTAAAATACGATATTTTGTCCAACCTGGCCTTAAGCTTGAATTCGAACCCATAACCCACGACTCTCAGATACACTATACTAAGCGGTTGTGAATGTGGCGTTCAATAATTCGATCATCTTACAGAGAACGGAACCATCGATTATTTCAAAATGCTTAATGAATGAATAAATGAAAAATGTACTGTAATAAAAACAAGTATTTTCAAAACTACTATGGTATACATACAAAAATATCAACACAGCAGGCAATGTAAGTCCACCTCCAAGTAGGAAGAATGCTCCCGGAAACGTTTTTAATGTAGCAGCATAAACTGTGGTATACATTGGAGCGTACACCAGGGGCATCATGGCTTCTGCCACGCCAAAGAAGGAATTAACTTTGCCTGTAAATATTTATTAGTTTTTGTACTGTGTCATGTTAGTTCAGCAGCCGGGCAGTTCTCCTTGTCAGTCTGTTTCTGGTAATAATACTATATACGTATGTACGGAGGGTCGCGCCTGTAATCTTTGAAAAGATTGGCAAAGGCCAGCGAGCTATTTGGACTACGTTTAGTTAAAAAATATGCTTATATAATAAATAATACACGTAAACGGACACGATTTGAACTTCGTTATTTATAATATTATTTTATTTTTTATTTGTATTTAAAAATTAAAAAAGTTACTTTTAAAAAGATGGAAAAATATCTATGCTTGTACGTGGTGGAGCCGTGCTGCAAATACGAGTACCTATAAATACATCAACACAGTATAGGAATATTTTTAATGACATTGACCAACTAAAAATACTGGCCACTATTTTTTTTAACATCAAATTGTTCGTCATTTATAAAAGATTAATTCCAAATTTAAATAAAATTAAAAATATTAATGCCTTGGCAAGGGAGCTATTTTGTATTCACTATACTCAATGTAGTTATTTTTTTGTTGAAATCAGCTATTTAAACATCTTTTTGATTCAACTTGGGTTGATTGTTATAATTTGAAAATTTATTGCAATCCAACATCGACATTTAACAGGAGAAGAGATGTTAAGAGCAGTGGGAATGCCGCAGGCTGGTGCTTTTCAGCGTGACGTCGCTGCAGCAATAGACACCAGGCAAAATGTGATTTGGAGGTTGTGGTCACGCTATCGTGTCGCGATTTCGAGGAAATGGCGTAGAGACATCCATCCAGGACCAAGCCGCATTACTACACCCAGAGAAGTCTGTTTTTCTACCGACTTCAAAAAGGAGCCGGTACTCAATTCGACTGTATGTTTTTTTATGTGTGTTACCTCATAACTTTACTGGGTGAACCGATTTCGATGATTATTTTTTTTATTTAAAAGCTGGTGCTTCACATGTGGTCCCATATAAATCAAGGTCTGACTAATAGTTTTTGAGTTATTCGTAATAATTTATATTGAAGTCGGTTGTACAAATTTTTTTATTTTAAATTATTGCAAATTGCTGCGATAAGGCAACCAAATAATGTTACGGCGATGCTAATGGTCCAAAGGCCAAACTGTGAGTGACCAAACTGTGAGGAGGAAACCGCACGAAGCCATTCTTCATGCTCGTATACCACATCGGGTTCCAGCTCTAAGACAAGGAAATCGTGAACGAAGACTGCAATGGGCTAGAGAACACGTGAACTGGGAACCTCATAGATGGTCGTTGGTGCTTTTCACCGATGTATCCCGATTTGGTTTCTTCCTGATAAGAGGATAGTACGTGTTTGGAGAGTTCCTGATCGTAAAAGCCGGCTTCAACACCCTCAAGAAGTTCATCCAAACCAAGGTGGTAGAATTATGGTATGGGCAGAAATTCGTTTTGGTGGAAAAACGGACCTCGTTTGGATACAAGACATTATGAGAGCTGAAAAATAGCGTAATGAGGTGCGAGAACCAACACTATTGCCACATTGAACACAAATTACTCAAAATGTCGTGCCACAACAATGCTCGTTCACATACGGCCAGGGTGATAACAATCTGGTTGCACAAACATGATGTCATGGCCCATAATGTCCAGCGCAATGCCCAGATTTAAATCACATTGAGCATGCTTGGGATATGCTCCAAAGAAGAGATCTGAGGGATTTTCCTGAAAATCTGGTTACAGAAGAACAACTTTTTATGCATCACAGTAGGACCTGGGACAATATTCCTTAACAGGATATTGACAACCTCATTCTGAGTATGCCCAACCGAAGCAGATACGTTATGAATGAAGTCAATGCTTATTTAAAAAAAAAACCGGTAAATTATTAAATAACGTTTTCTTGGATTTATAGGTACATATCTTGAGAAAATATTGAGATACTCTTTGGAATTCATGTGTTGATAAAATATCCCTATACCGTGTTGATGTGTTTATTATGGTTGTAACACGAATGGGTCGGCTCGATCGAGGAGTGACCACGCTCTCACACTCCTTCACCGACGTGAAATATCAGCTTACTGGTAACGAACCATTCCATCTTAGTCTTCAGGGATGACGATGAGGGTAGATGTAGATTTCTATGGGCACAGCATTCACTTACCATCAGGTGGAGTGTGGGCTCGTTTGTTACTCTTACTTTATAAAAAATACTACCTATAGGTTTCTACTTCGTTCACCTCTAAATTTCCTTGACTGTTTCTTTGGTGTAGGTAGTGGTAGTAAAGAGGGCCACTCGTCATCGCGACTCGGAAGTGGTCCCGAGACATCGTGATAGAACTGCGAGGGTGCTGGGGGCAGCAAGTATTGGCCCCGGGAAGTGCTTCCAATAAATCAAATCCAGTGAGGGGCCCCGGTTGCGTTCCGAACGGAGATCCCGGGATCATATACGCTGATGGTCACCAACGTGAGGTTTTAACCGGTAGGAGTCCGACGTAACCATTCTGTTTATCCCGTAGCTGAAGGTAGCTATGAGGATTTCCACGGTCTTGGGTTCGAATATATATAATAACCCTTTTGTGTATTAGATTGACTTACCTAATTCATCTTTCTCCACTAATTTAGAAACCATTGATCTTACTGCAATAAACGATGTCCCATTAAATATTTCTATCAATGGAGCTGAAAGAGGAAGAACGAAAATACAATTAAAGAAAAATGCAAATTGCTTCTTTGATTTCGCACGTCCTACACAAATTGTTGAAAAAAATATATGAGAAGGTTAGCTATTAGAAGGGAAGCGGATTCATTAAAATATTTATGGTACAAAATTAAATGCGGCATATTACAGAACAAAGGAAATCGACTAGTAATTGTTACATAGAGTGCTTAATGGCTATAAAATATAAATTATATACTATACCTATGTAAATATGCCAAGTTTTTGACGCGAAAGCATACATAAAACCTGATAATATTTTACTTGTGCTCGAAATAACTCCGATGATAGCGTCATCGTATTTCAAAATGTGACTGAACACACCCACGGAGAAAAGAGTACCTGAAAAAATGTTTCATTTTAGAAAAATAATAATCTCAGAAATTAAGTACCATTTTATGAGTAATTTTAATTTTCCAGAAAATAACAATAATATCAAAAGAAAACTATTTTGTTTAAATATAAAGTGACCTTCGCACATCCCACAGATATGAATAAACATCCTCTCACTTCTGAAAAGGCTTCGGAGCAGAGAAGACTCCGGCCTAACCTTATACGTAGTGGTGATATTGAAATATATTCTTATTACCCAGACATACAGAATTCCCCAAGCCGTTTTCCTTTACCGCCGAGGACACTATAATTCAGGACTTATAATTACGTCTATAGATTTCATTGGCCCGGGCAGAGATAGAACTTGAGCTACTCGCATTCTATGAAATTTATTCACATAGATGCGTGTAATATATTCGTAGAACACCTCACAGGTTCTAACTATTGCAATCTGTGTGGCATTACTACGCCTTATAGTTCCTCATGTCCTTCAAACCGTATTGAAATAGTAAAGGCTGCTGCTGTTCAGGGGCTTGCCGTAAATTTCACAGTACCTTACGCGAGAAACCTCTGCCAGCGCTAATAATATTGTTTGTCACAATTTCAAGTGTTGAGTTACTATATGCCCTGCGAAAAGGAAAATATCGTGAGGAGAAACCTACATGTCTATGAAATTACAAAAAAATATTTCAAATCATTTGTGAAGTCCGCCAACACGCATTGGGGCAGCGTGGCTGATATTTTCTTGGCCTAAAAATCTCAGAAATTAAAGTAGAGGACGTATACAGGCTTTAGGTACTGTACTTTTACTTTTTTAAATAAATGACATATACTTTACCCACTAATGAAGTACACATTGAGTATGTTGAAAACATACTGAAGTCCACTTCGTTCCAGTTAAAGCGGTATCTGGTAAACAGGTACATAACCGACATCTCCCCTAGAAAAAATGTAAAATTTATTTGAATCATTTTTAAATACATGAAAACTTCTTTTTAAATTGTATACGTGGTAGAGCCATGCTGCAGCTATATTAGTAGTATAGTTGTAGCACGAATGGGTCGGCTTGACCGGGAAAGGACCACACTCTCACAGAATACCAGCGGAACATGGCAGCATGTTTTCTATTATTTTAATGTGGTAACATTGTGCCCCTTACCCTGTAACAGAGTACCCCAGCTACGGGGCTCATTGTTACAATCGACTGACCTCATTAAAGTGCCATTTTAAGTAGGTTGGACTGGGACAATTAAAATACAATTCGACACGAAAACTAAAATTTTGTGTTTTGTACAAATCTTCGCCTATAACCCAAGACCTTAAGAACTAGTCTAGGCTACTAGGTCGAACAATAACAAATCGCTGGAGAAAATTTGCTCAAGATACAACCTCGTGAGCTCGTGACAGCAAGCAAAGTATGACGCACCATTAGATACTGTGACTAGCGACGCCTTATAAGGAAAGCAATAAGTATGGGATTATTCTTTACGGGAGGTCTGTTCAGTAGTAGTCAAAGATAAGCCTAATTTCCTACAGTATTATGATTTATGACAGAAACAGAAACTTTTTTATTCAATATAGATTATAAATAATACTTATTGAAAGTCACTCTTTTGTATGATTACCACTGGTTCGAAATAAAACCTCTGTCCTGGGAAGAACCAGCAAGAAACCCAGCGGGACTTTTTTTTAAATAACAGCTTACAATCATGTATGTTACATAAATTAACAACACAACATATTAGAAATAGCTTGGTAGCGATCACCTCATTTCCAGGGGTTATTATCATCTATAAATCCATTAATATTATAATAACCCTTTTTATACAAACTTAGTTTAATAAAGTTTTTGATCTTTGAGCAGGTCAAATTTTGTATATTTTCTGGAATTTTGTTGTAAAAGCGTATACATCGCCCCAAGAATGAGTTACTGACTCGATGGAGTCGAGTAACTGGTACTACTAGCTTGTGTCTGTTCCTAGTATTTACAGAATGAATATCACTTATTTTTGTAAAACTACTTTTATTTTTGTGCACATACATTACATTTTCATAAATGTATTGAGAGGCCAAAGTTAATATATAAATTTCCTTAAATTTTTGTCGCAGCGACTCTTTAGGCTTTAAATCATAAATTGCTCTTATGGCCCTCTTTTGCAAAACAAATATAATTTCAGTGTCAGCTGCGTGTCCCCATAGCAAAATACCATACGATATTATGCTATGGAAATAGCTAAAGTAAACTAGTCTAGCTGTTTCAACACTAGTTAGACTTCTAATCTTTTTTACGGCATATGCTGCAGAACTAAGTCTGCTTGATAATTTTGATATATGGGTCTCCATTGAAGCTTCGCGTCTAGTGTGATTCCAAGAAAAATGGTGGTATCTACAAGACTCAGTTTCTCCCCATTTAAAATTACATTAGTATTTAATTGTTTGACATTTGGAGTCATAAATTTCATACATTTCGTTTTAGTGCCATTTAAATGCAAATTATTAACATTGAACCAATTTACTAATTTAGATATAGCATTAACTGATTGGGCGCTGTCCACCTTAACGCAAATTTCTTGATTCTGGTATATCAAATACTACAACATGTATACATTTCTGAAATTTCCTATAAATGTGTGTATAAATTTAAGAAAGTCTCAGAATAATTAGTGTAAATGTCGAGTAAAGTCAAAATTGTCATATTTCTCAATGAAGCAAAGTTTTTGTGCCGACTTCCAAAAAGGAGACGGTACTCAATTCGACAGTATGTTTTTTATGTTTGTTAGCTCATAACTTTTTACTGGATGTACCGATTTCAATGACTCTTTTTTTATTTGAAAGCTGATACTTCTGTGGTCCCATATAAATTTGATCAAGGTCAGATCAATAGTTATTGAGTTATTCTAAATAACTTATATGGAAGCCGGCTGTATAAAATTTTAAATTATTAACAGTTCAATTTTGTTTTATTTTAACCTTTAATCTAATATTTACAATATTTTATGTGCAAAATCATAGGATACAATACAATGTTTGATCATAAAACGCATTAAAAATAAGTTTACTATCAACTTACACGGATGTAGAATGTAGTTCGAACTGGATTAATGCGTTAGTCAATAAATATTTATTTAAAAAAACATTCACACATAATCAAAAAAATTATTAACATTGAACCAATTTACTAATTTAGATATAGCATTATTTACTTCGTCATATTTTAGCAATTGTCGACTTAATTTGAAAATTGAAGAAGTGTCATCTGCAAATAATACTATATCATGGTTATCTCCTACTATGTAAGGTAAGTCATTAATGTATACAAGAAACAGAAAGGTGCCGAGAATTGAGCCTTGAGGCACGCCCATTTGTAACATCGACCCGGAAGAACTCATACCGTTAATGACAACTTTTTGCGTTCTCTTACTTAAATATGAAATAATTAATTTAAGAGCATCACTTCTTACACCGTAGTGTTGAAGTTTCCTGGTTAATGTTGCATGGTGAACACAATCGAAGGCTTTGGATAGGTCACAAAATATACCCAAAGCATCCTGTGAATTCTCCCATGCATTAAATATATATTTAATCAGCTCAACACCGGCATCAGTTGTCGAGCGACCCCTTGTGAAACCAAATTGATTTTTATAAAGTAAATTATTTATATTAAAGAAATTTAACATTTGATCAAGAATAATTTTTTCAAAAATCTTACTAAGTGTTGGTAGTACAGAAATAGGTCTAAAATTGGCGGGGTCTAATGTACTACCAGATTTAAATAAAGGTATTACTTTACTATACTTCATTAAATCAGGAAACACACCAGATTCGATACTAGTATTAAAAATAATAGCTATATGAGGCGCGATTGTATCTATTATAGACGCAATAACTTTAACGGAAATCCCCTACAGATCCGCAGTTTTCTTAACATCAATAGTTTTAAAATATTTTACAATATCTTTTGATGATACTTTATGAAAAGCAAAATTCTTTGTACACGCATTTACATTTTGTATACGATTCGGCGACCGCAGGAGAAGAATTCAGTGACTTAGTGGTTAATATCGGAATATCAGTAAAATATTTCTCGAAAACCATTGCAACGTCCTGATCTGATTCGGTTAATTTGTCACTAACACTTAACTTGTAGTTTGAATTTCGAGAGTTGATCTTACCAGTTTCGCTATTAATTATACTCCATGTCATTTTAATTTTATTGGAAGCCGTCTTAATTTTGTTGCTCAAATGCAAAGACTTGGCTGTGGAGCACACTCTTTTAAATATTTTTGAATATTTTTTCACATATTCCCTAAATTCGACGCTATGATTATATGACCTTTCATGGTAAAGATCATATTATAACCTATGTCTGCTCCTATGGACTCCTACTGTCGCCCATTCATTAAATGACTTCCGACTGTTCAAGGAGAATATTTTAGAAGTAAAAGTATTATTAAATTCATTGCAAATTAGCTTAAATAATGTTCCATACAAAAAATTTGGATCATTTTGGTATGAAAGAGATGGAAGTTTTTTCACTATGTTACTTCTAAATTTCTCCAAGCGACGTGCATTTACTGGAACAAACACAACTTTCTCATCTACTTGCTTTTTGTGAACATAAGGTAACAAAACTACCTGTCCACAGTGATCAAAACTTAATTTTTGAATTATACATTTATACAACGGCTTCACATTTGTAAAAATGTTATCTATACATGTTGCACTAGATTGAGCAATACGCGTTGGCTCTAAAAATAAATTAAAAAGACCATATGATTTAAACAATCTAAATTTAATATTGATTGAGGAAGCTTCTAGATTGATATTAAAGTCTCCACATATTACAACAGATTTATTCTGTTTATTAAGCTTAGCAAAAACTTCCTCCATAATTTTTTCAAAAGTATCGTATATAGAACATGGGGGTCTGTAGACGCTCACAACAATGAGGTGCTCAAAAACAGATCGTCATCATCCTATCTAAAGTGCTTATGAGTAAAGAATGAGAATATAGGAATAACTTTATTCTCATTCTTTCTTCAGGTCTTCGTGTGTATTAGGCTTATTAGTCTAATACGCACGGAGAACATTACACATATTCTTTTGCTTCTTATAATATAGAGAAATAGAGAGTTCATAAGCTTAGACCATTCAACCAATGGGTTGGGTTAAATGGTCTAAGTTTATAAGTTCAGATAGATACCGACTGATTATTGTTTATTTTGCTTTGTAGTAATTTCAAAAAAAAAGCAAATTGCGCATTATCATAGTAGGTAAATAAAACATTATTCAATTTGTCCTCAAAATTTCCGTAAGTATATTTTATAAAGTAGAACATTTGACGCAGTCCTTGCAAACAAACATTGTAGTAGTATGACGGAAAACGCACAAACTGTTTTAAAAGGAGTTCATTTTATAATATGTGTCAGATTAAGTACAAGATAAACTTGCAATAGATTTTTTTTTTTTATAGGATGAGGGTGACAAACGAGCACGCAGTCCACCTGATGGTAAGTGGTTGCTGCGGCCCATAGACATCTACATCTATCCTCTGTTACAAATCAAAATGCAGATGCGCTGTCACCCGCGAGGACTAAGATGGAATGCCTCATTTCCAGTAAAAAGGGCCTCCGGCCACCTGCACTCACCAAGCGAAACGCAGAGGTAAACCTCTACTTCACGCTGGTTTTCTGTGAGGTCGTGGTACTACCCCGGTTCGAGCCGGCCCATCCGTGCGACAGCAAAAGCTGCCGCGTGGCTCTACCACTGTTAGTATAAAAGTAATAGTACCTACAACTCGCCGTCCTTTACGTTTACGTGTAAATAAAAGTAAATTTTAAAATGTTACTTTGTTAGAAACAATATAAGTACCAGAAGTATATCCAATTTGGACTTTCTCGCAAAATCAGAAATAGGTATTCACCGACAGAAAGCGATACATTTAGTAAGAAAATGTAATAATCATTTTGATTCAAGAAATGCCATTTTTCCTTTTATAATAAAATCTATTGTCTACCGACTTCAAAAAAGAGACGGTACTCAATTCGAATGTATGTTTGTTTACGTGTGTTACCTCATAACCTTTTACTGAGTGAACCGATTTCGATGATTCTTTTTTTATTTATCTTTTATTTTTTAAATGAGGTCTGACCAATAGTTTTTGAGTTATTCTTAATAATTTATATTGAAGTTGGTTGTACAAATTTTTTAATTTTAAATTATTTTAGATATGGGCTTCTCTCAAAGTAGTTTGTCGCAGTCGTCACGCTTGGCGAGCAGATAATTGTATGGTGATTGCGCAGGCTGCTCTCGTGCTGTGCTGGTTCCACGTTGGTGTACAGAGAAGAAAGAGCTTATTTAAAGTACCGCAAATCTTCACACGATGACGACCGGAGGTATACTTCCTACAGTTACTAGAATGTAACATTTATGAATATTTATCTTGCCTACTTCTAAACCTATCGCACAAATATGTGGCGGCGTAGTCATTGCGTCACAATACGTAAACGGATCGACCAAAAACTAAAGCCTTTGTGATTGTTCATTCTAGCTTATTTCCAAACCTATCTCGCATAAACGTGTGATATTGTTATTGCGTCACAATAGCGCAAATTAATTTTACTACTGAAGCCTCAATCACGCTATAAAATTTTCCAAACGACTCTGCATATATAGAAGAAGCTCCATAACACCACAACATTAATTACTAATACAATATGTAAAAAGCCCAGTCCGAGTGCCCGTATCATGAGGTCGCTTTTAGGTGTCTGATATGATTCTATTACTATAGGTAAGGTTTTACAAGAAATAAATAATAAAGTACCCCGAATAAAAGAAAATGAGATTTAATTGAAATTTTTTAATAAAATTACAGCGCCGCGCCGCCGCCATCCGTCAGGTAACAAGTTCAAAGGTACCTACCGTCACCGACGACGACGTTTTCAGTTTTTTTTTTAAATATAGATTAAGGGTGACAAACGAGTACACAGCCCACCTGATGGTAAGTGGTTGCTGTGCATAGACATCTACATCTATCTTCGATTGCGAATTAAAATGCAGATGCGTTGTCAGCCGTGAGGACTAAGATAGAATGCCTCTTTTCCAGTAAAAGGGATCTCCGGTTATCTACACTCACCATACGAAACACAACAGCATTAGGCTGCTATTTTACGCTGGTATTCTCTGAGAGCGTGGTCCTTCCCCGGTCGAGCCGACCCATTCGTGCTACAACTATACTTTTAATATAGCTGCAGCATGGCTCTACCACGTTAAAAATAAAAATATGCTGAATTTTAAGCAAATTTTTGTAAAAAAATGTAAATTAAATAATATAAACATATTTATATTCATTAAAAATATTATGGTGTTTTCATTTATATGTGCCCCTTTCGTATAGGACACGGTATTTTTTGCATATTGTATATAGCTACTACTACACAGAGCATAGGCTACTCACTGGAAAAGGATCTCTTTTTTTCTATCCATGGCCAAAAATCTTACATCATACGACAAACGAAGGGAACGGAACTTACTTCCCTTTTATCCTGTGCCTATATTATGTACCCTTGGACGCCATTACCCGATAATTCGGACGTTTTCGATTGTCATCGAGGTTGAAATCTCAGAAATGTACGAGAGAGTACAACGATAACAATTTATGATTTAATTTGTGATTTAATATAAACCTTAGTTTCAAGAAGAATAGGTTCACTGTCAACTTGCGATCGAAAGAAAGTACTTGATTGTTAAAAACACCTACCTATACCCATAATGATTTGTTATAATTATATATTCTCATTAAGTGTCCGTTGTATATAGTTTTATATCTAATGTAGTTACTATAAAATACTCACCAAATATAGGGCCGATGACGACACAGAGAACGATGACCAGCATAATTACTCTAAGTCTACGGTTATTAGGACCCTTCTTGAATGCCACCGTCAGAGTATCTTTCACGTAACGAATGTCAAAGAATTCCTTCAGCCACTCACAGCAGTTCTTGGACGATTTCTAAAAAATATACAAGAGTTTAAAACGGTACTTTCTTATTATAGATCTTGGACGTGAGCAATATGTTTTGGGTTATTTACACGACTTTAAATAGTAATATTTTTTATCATAATTAAAAATGTAAATTGTAGCTATTGATTACGTATGATTTGTTTAGAATAAGATAATATAGAATAAAATAGGACATAGCATAATAGAATGTATGGAGTAGAGTAGAATATAATAGAAGGGAACAGATTAAAACAGAATAGAATAGAATTCAATATTGATTCCGAAAAATTCTTATTGAAAGTCACTTTTTTACTTTTACCACTGGCACGGATAACACCTTTGTCCTGGGAAGAACCAGCAAGAATCCCAGCGGGATTTTCAAAGACGTGAATATCTTTTTTCTCCAAATGAATTTAAAGTTTAAACATGCTGTCTATACAATAAACACACACAAATCAATCGTACAAATAAATCGATGCACTCTATGAACCCTCCAATAACTACCATACATAATGCTACAACATTATTAATTTTTTTAGTGACAAAACCAAACAACATTACTTATGCATTATTATCCTTTATCACAAAAGGTTTCCTAACAAAATTATTTTAAAACTATTGTTTCACAAAAAATAATTAAAATACAATAAATAGGACATACTAAGTGTAAGGTAGATTGAACTACAACTTTTACTACAATAAAGGTACTAAATCATTGTTGTCCTCTCTGTAACTTTACTACTCTATGACCCCAGCCTACAGTATATCTATACATATAATAAATCTGTAGAAAAGTCGTGTCTGTAATTCTAATATATTCTTGAAAAAACAAGTCCAGGGGACTAAATAAAGGGTTCTGAAGCCAAATTAGTGGTTTTTAGAATTTTTGTCGGTCTGTCTGTTTGTCTTTCTGTCTGTCTGTCTGTCTGTCTGTCTGTGTATTCCGGATTCACGCAAAAACTACTGAACCGATTTACAAGAAATTTTGTATGTAGGTAGTCAGTAACCCGGGGCAACTTATAGGCTACTTTTATCCGATTACGGAACTTCAAAAAAGGAAGGTTAAGTATATTAATTTCCTTTAGATGTTAATTTTCTGTTGTATCTTAGTTATAGGCGGAATGACGGGTGTTTTTCAAATAAATACCATATTTGTAAATAAAGTTTAAAATATAGTTATAATCTTGGTAAAATAATTTGAAACTACACCGATTTCGTATTCAAAACAGCGCCATCTATCATCAAATGGAAAAAGTTGTATATTTTGCCATCAGTTACTAATAAACGAATTAAATTAATAGATTTTTAAAATTATTAAAATATTGTAAGATATTTTTTTCATAAAAAACATACTTCATATTTCTATAAATCATCTTATCTTTATATATAAAAATTACGTGTCACGTTGTTTGTCCGCGATGGACTCCTAAACTACTGAACTGATTTCAATAAAATTTTGCACACTGAGTCATAGAATGAATAATAGTACTAAACTGCGTTCAGTTTGGTCCAACTTGAGAGATATATGATGAGATATAGTTTTTATCCCGATAAATGACCTTTAATATTTTTTATTACGAATTTAAGGATTTTTTATAGGACAAAAGGCCGTCGGAAAAGGCAGAACAACGTCTGCCTGGCGATCTAGTATTTTATATAATTTTTACATAATTATGTAATAAACTCACAAAATTTTATTCACGACACTAACTTTAAAGCACATACAAGTCAGAACGTCGTACATATAAGCTGTTTTCTGACGATGTTAGTGCTGTTAGCCTTTTGGCTTTTACAGCTTCGTCAGACTCAGGACTAGAGGCCTGTAAGGCCGCGAGCTGAAAAAAATGGGTGAAGATTATTTATTTTATTTTAGTGTGACGTTATTTTCGTAACGTTTTTCACTTAAGTGAATATTTCGTGACATAGATGAGTTATTTAACGGTCGTCCGAACAGGGTGTGGCGGGCCTTGGCTCTGACGGCTAATTCATATCATTCGTTGTTCTGGGTGGTGAGAGTCGTCCAGGGACTTGGGTGTGCGGTGTGTAGGCGATGTGGAGGGGTATGCGGCGCGCCCGTCTATGGACGCGTTGCGTCACTGCGTACCATCCGTTGTCCTAACGGTGTTGTTTGTGACACTAGGTGAGTGTGTAGTTGTGAAGGACAGGCGACATGTGGGTCGTCGGAATCTAGCGTAACAGGGGGTTTAATTAAAACGTTACGGGGCCTCCAGAGACTTTCCGTGACGTTTGGAGTCGGAGCGTAGGTGGCTGCGTTTACAACTAGCGGTTTGGGATGTGTTTCGGCGCTCTCGAAGTAGCGCTGAGACATTTCCTTGAAATACTCAGAGATGGCATTACAGCGGAGCTTCTGAAAGCGAGTAGAAGACCGGTACGTGAAGTCCTTCAGTAGATATTTAATTCTGTCCTCCATGGTGGCACTACTCCGGAGGCGTGGAGAAGAAGTCTTGTTCTTCAAGAAAGGCGACAACGCTCTCTTGAAGAACTACAGACCGATTCCCCCTCTGAGCCGCATCTACGTGCTGTTTTCGAGAGTCATTACGAAACGTCTCGCACGCAGACTTGACGACTTCCAGCCCCCCGGACAAGCCTGTTTCCGAAAAGGCTTTAGCACCATAGACCGTCATACGCACCATTCGGCAAATTGTACAGAAGCCCGAGGAGTACGATTTGCCACTATATCTTGCGTATGTGGCGACGAAATAGTCCCTATGGCGGAATCGCTGGAGACCTAAGCATTATCCTCAATGACCTCAATAGTGCCTTCCAACGAATAGGTCTTAAGATGAACATGGACAAAACAAAGATCATGTATAACGTCATGTCACACACCTTTGCCGGTAGTTGTTGGGAGTACTAAGCTCGAAGTTGTTGACGAGTGAGTATGTATATATTACCTGGGCAAATGGTCCGACTAGGTAAGTCCGACTTCGACCGAGAGGTCAATCGACGGATTCAACTCGGCCGGGCAGCATACGGGAAATTACGACACATCTTCTAGTCAGGTATACCTCAAAACTTGAAAACGGGACTGTACAACCAGTGTGTGGAGTCAGTGATAACTTTGGGAACTAAGACGTGATCCTTCACTGTTGACGGTATGAGGAAGCTCAAGGTCACTCTGCGAGCTATGGAGAGGGCTATGCTCGGGGTTTCTCTTCATGATAGACTTAGTGGATATCCACAGTAGAACCAGAGTGACCGAAATAGTAAGGGATTAGTAAACTGAAGTGACAATGGGCTGGCCATATAGCTCAAAGAACCGACAACCGATGGGGAAGAAAGGTTCTTGAGTGGCAGCCTCGTACTGGTAGACGAAGTGTAGGGCGACCCCCTCCTAGATGCATAAGTCTGCTGGATCTCCGCTTCGACTTCTGCGAGGTGAGTGGGATCTATGGGTTCGCATTTCGGCCTTTTCAGAGTCATTTAAGACGAGATCAAGGTTCCCTGGCCTAATAAGAGACGGCACAGGTTTGGTTTGTCCTGCTTTCAGAGCTTGGGTCAATTACCAGAAGACAGTTTGAGATGGCTCGATATCCTCCAGCAGAGTCTTACTAGTCACTTGTCCTATCTTAATTCGACAATGCGCTGTTTCACCTCGTTTTAGAGGTTGCATAGTCGAAATTTGTTTTTTAACGTGCGATAGTGGTCGTGTCTTTTTAGGGCTGTGTTGTTCACTTTAATCTACTGTCGAATATCCCTCGGAAACTTTGTGCGTTGAGTGCTCGACACACGAACCTTACGAAAGCATTCTTCGACCGTTGAGGTGAGGTGAGCCGATAGGGCGCCAAATACCTCATTGGCCTCTTCTGGCGAGTCTATTTAGTCTGGGATTTTGTGTAAGTGCTGGGAGGTCGTAGACTCTAGTTTGACCTCGAGCTTACGCCAGTCTACGATGGTTTGAATCTAAAGGACCTCGCCAGTGGGCTAAGCCAGCTGCAACAAGACTGGCCTGTGATCCGAGTTTAGTTACAAAATTATCTCGATCGATGATGTCGCCTTATCCACTTGGAATGTGGAACTCCAGCTTTTCTTCTCTCAAGGCAATAAAATTATGCCTTCGTACGACAATAATGGAAGACAGGTTGAAAGTTTTGCTGCCATGTATATTCACCAAGATATGGCAGCCTAAAACTTGCCCAAATCATTGAAAAATTCGCGGAAAGTTTTCCATGGAGACTAGCTACAAGCAAAATAAATTTTTGTGTGCTTTTTTACTGTTTATTGATATCTCAGCTGGGTAAAGCCCACTTAAACCAAAATCCTAGAACCGCCACTGAAAACTTGGTATGATGGTATTCAAATAATGTTGAATTTCATATGTAAAAAATATTTGATTCTTTGTATAAAATTTGTTTTAAACCATTGTATAAGACATTCTGTAAAATGTTATAGACAGTCAACCTACGACTCAGCTTATGGGAAATTTGCCTAAAGAACGTATTACACCTATTAGACCATTTCTCGTAAGTGGAGTAGATTAAGATCTGTAAATTACTCATTGAAGAAGTAAGTTAATTTCATATAGAGATATTTTTGAGTTTTTATTATCCTTTGGGAGACACTATTAAGGTCATTAAGTACAGTGCTTAGGTCCTCCAGTGATTCTGCCATAAGGACTATATCGTCGGCAAATCGAATGTGACTGTTGTACTCGCCATAGACGTTATTACCGTATCGTTTCCAGTCCAGCAGCTTGAAAAGGTCTTCCAATACAACGGTGAATAGTTTCGGAAATATTACGTCACCCTGTCTTACACCTCTCTGCAGATGGATAGGTTTCATACTCTGGTTCTGTACTCGGATAGCCATCGTAGCCCTACTGTACAAACACTTCAGTACTTCGATATATCAACAGTCCACTTGGCATAGCTGGAGGGACTGCAGCACCGCCCAAATTTCGATGGAATCAAAGGCTTTCTCATAGTCCACGTATGCAAGACAAAGTGGCAGATTGCACTCTGCGGTCTTCTGTACGATTTGACGAAGTA